GGTGCGTTTCTTTAAGTCTTCCTACCAACATGACCGAGTTGCGAAAACAAGGTCAAACAACTTCTATTCTTTGCATATTTCATGCCGAAGCCATCTAGTGTGATGCAAATGGCTTTCATTGAGCCAAGCTTTTCAAACGCTACCCTGTGAGATTTTATTTTAGCATCATACCTACATCTAGCTATGAATTTCAGGATTAGCTGACTAATTCTGGTTAATCATCTCTCTATAGTATAAGGACTTTGTCGGAATAAGCTCATTTCGGCCAAGTTATTCATTTAATACGCTAAGTTAAATAACTTCTGGATAATAGAATAAAATGTTCCATCTTACCTTGAACTTCATTGCCGTATTTATTTCTTAGGTATAAAAAAAGGTCATGCAGTGAACCTTTACACTTCTATAATGTTTATTTTTTAAGCATTAAATGAGTGACAACTACTTATATTATCAACACATACGTAAATGCTTTCTTTGGTAGAATATTGATTATTTATGTTGCTGGAAATAGTATTGTCATCCTTTATCACTATTTTATTTGCTTTCCTAGTACTTTTTTTGTATTTGGCGTTTACGCGAAACAAGTGACAAATTTTGTTAGCACTCTTATTAAATTTTCTTTTTTCCTTTGATTTGTCAACTCCAAAGTTTACTCGTGCCATAATTGATAACCTTCTCGAAATCTTGGCCAACGAGGCGATGTTATTTTCGTCCGATCAGGTTTCGGTAACCGATCTGGCCGGCTCAAGTGGGGTTGGCCGTAGCGTGCTGAATGCCCTTGCTCGTTGCTTTAAAGACCTTCTAATGAACCTTACCTACTCAAATAGCATGGAGGCATACATTCGTGGCCGGAATTTCAGGCACTCCACCGTACACAACATTTATCTCATGCTCCTCAACCAAATCCTTGATGAAGAGTTTTCAGAGTCAGTTACCTCAATCTCAGGTGGTAGCTCCAACACACTCTTGCGCCCTCCATACTCATCTGGTCAGCACAGAATGGCGGGTTCGGAGGCTACCAAAGCTGTACAAGTTATATTCGCCAAAATATACTGGGCCTTCCTTATCATTGTCCGTTCTAAGGTTAGACGATTTGATTATTTTCTTTTGGCCAATTTCCTTGACAAAATAAAAAAAATGTTCAGTTGCTTTTATTGAGACATCTATGCAGGCTTGAAGGCATTGATTTTGTTCTATAAGTTTATGTTAAAGAGTCATTACCTAACTGAGGTGTCTTCATTGTTCTAATACTATGTTTGCTCTTAGCCTTGTGTAAACCAGTATTTATCATATTCGCTTCAAAATTAATTTCATAAAGTGTCTACTTATATTATTTCGTATATAAGCAGAGTTTCGACACTACCAGTAAATCAGTTTTATGAAAAGGCGAGTGGAAGGAATTCGTAAGTTGGCCTCACCAGATTGATTGCCTTGCAGCCGTGACTGTAGAAAGGCAACATTTCTTGTCTTCGTGTTTTGGGGAATTTCCTTTAAGCATAGTGTCCTGCTCTTACAATGCATGTTGGGGTCTCAAATCGTTGGCCGAGAATCTATTCGCACAAATCTACAGTCACGGCTCCAAGACAATTCTCTTATAGCTTCCAATGGAGCCAACTTATGAATTTCTTGCACTCACCTCTTCAAACGAAATGAAAGGTACTCCAACTTAAAGCATAGTTCACTTAAAATTCCTGTTATGTTTTCTTAAGTCTGCATAATTTTCGGCACTTAAGTTAAATATAAATGCATGCTAGAGCTAAATAAATTAAAGAGAATCATCATCTGTGTTTAATGTCTTCGTTTTGCTA